AATAATAATAATAATAATAATAATAAAAAGAAAATAGAAAAAAAATTTAAATTATATATTAGTTTGTGTAATTTACTTTGTAGCATCATGAATGCTCTTATTTTAAAAAGTGGGAGTAGTTACTGTCAATTACTACTAATTGTTAGTACAAATAATTAAGCAGATATTTGAAAAAAAATACAATGTTTTAATCAAGGTTTTATTTTAAATCGGTTTTAGAGTCACACAGAAATTGGGCAGAAAATGCAGATTTCCCATGGAGACCCAACCTAGTTTCCCCTCTTATTGACATATCAACATGTATCAGATATGTTACTAACATCTTTCTTTCTTTTTTTTTTTGAAATGGAGTCTTGCTCGCCCAGGCTGGAGTGCAGTGGTGTGATCTCAACTCACTGCCACCTCCGCCTCCTGGGTTCAAGCAATTCTCCTGCCTCAGCCTCCTGAGTCGCTGGGATTGTAGGTGACTGCCATCACACCTACAAGCTTTGGGAAAAACTGCCAAAGCATCTCCCAAAGTGGCTGTACCATTAATGCATTCTACCAGCAGTGAATGACAGTACGTATTGTTCTTCAACATCCAATTGTTACTGTTGAGGTTTCTTTTAGAGTCCTGCAGTTCTACCAGGTATGCAGTGATAGCTCAGTGTTATTTTAATTTGCAGTCTCCTAATGAGACATGATGTTGAGCATCCTTTTGTGTGATTATTTGCTATCTGTGTGTGTATATATATATATATATATTTTTTTTTTTTTTTGAGACAGCATCTTCCTCTGTCATTCAGGCTGCAGTGCAATTGTGTGATGTCAGCTCACTGCAACCTGTGCCTCCCATGTTCAAGCACTGATTTTGCATCAGCCTCCCAAGGAGCTAGGACTACAGGCACCCACCACCACAACTGGCTAATAATTTGTATTTTTAGTATGGAGGGTGTTTCGCCTTGTTGGCAAGGCTGATCTCGAACTCCTGACCTTAGGTGATCTACCCACCTGAGCCTCCCAAAGTGCTGGGATTACAGGCATGAGCCACCATGCCTGGCATGCTATCTGTATATTTTCTTTGGCTAGGTGTCTGTTCAGAGGTTTACCCAGTTTTAATTGGGTTTTTAGTTTTTTTTAGTGTTCCTATGAAGAGTTCTTTGTTTATTTTCAATACAGTTTTTAAAATCACATATGCATTTTGTAAATATCTTCTCACAGTCTGTCTTGTCTTTGTGTTCTCTGAATAGGATTTTTCACAGTATAAAATTGAGTTTTATAAAGCCTGTTATGAATATTTACATGAATTGTCGTTTGATGTTGTGTGTTAAAACTCAACACCAAATTCAATGTTACATAGATTTTGTTTTAGATTTTTTATAGTTTTGCATTTCCAATTATAGTCTGGACAATTTTGAGTAGGTTTTTGTGTTTTAATTTGTGTGTACATTCATTTCATTCTAAATGGCTTCCAGATAATTCTTCTGTTACTATATTTGGGAAAGTTATGGATATAGTGGACTTTTTTGGTTTGAATTTCCAAAATTATGACATTGAATAAACTGGATATTGAATTTTATAGGTATTTAAGGACAACCAGGAGGGGGCGCGTGTCCGCTGAGAAACCGTGAGCAAGAGCGTCTGTGCTGAGCCGTGGCACCACCAGAGTGTCCACGATCCCACCCCCAACTAACTTCCCTCTGAGGCTCCAGAAGCCGCAAGGAGCTTTATCACCCTCAGGGCAGCATGAGGGTCGTGTCAACTTGGTGGTGGTCATTGGTGAGTAAAAACCTTCCTGTTCACGGCCCTGAGTGCAGAGGAATCTTTAGAGTACTCAGCAGAGGAAGAAATTTATCCAGAAAAATGGAACCCCCCAACTCCCACTGTTTTGACTGCACCCTGATATTGTCAACGTCCAAGACACAGTGACTGCTAATATATATTCTCACAGTGGCCTATAATAATCACACTGTGCCCTAACTCAATATAATATCCACACTATGTCGTAACAGTAATCTAATATCTACACCATCGCTTCTAATACCAGTGTAGTAATGTCCACACCATGGCCTAACACTAATATGCCCACACAGTGGCCTCTAACATTAATAAATGTAATAATATCTACTAAGTGGACACTGTTGACATTGAGACTGTTGTAAGTGTTTCATAGCTTTGGCTGAACTGTAGCTTCTATAATGGATTTTGATGAGGTCTCTGCTTTCCTGGCGTGATATTGATAAGGTTGTTTTGAAAAGTAATTTACTTTCCAATAGTGTCATACTTGTAGGAAACTTCCAGCAGCAGGACAAAGTACAAACTGTTTCTTCTGTTAGATTCCCCAGCAGTTATTGCTGTACCAGATTTACAGTGTTCCACAAAATACTTCAGTATGTTTTACCCAAAGTACCAACACTCTCCCAGGTAACCAGCCCGTCACCCCTAGATCAGGAAATCAGCATGGTTCCTACAGGATAATTCAGTCTACAAACTCATTTCACTTTTACCTCCTGCTCTACCTGGGAGTATAATGTGTTTTTCATTCTGATCCAGTTTTCTTTTCATGGAACTATTCCCAAGTCTTTCCTGCGTATTTGTGACCTTGACACATTTAAACGGCATGCAAGTTTTTGTTTAAACACCTGGCTTCAGGTTTTTGGGGTATATACCTAGGAATGAAATCATTGAGTCATACGGTAAATCTATTTGCCACTGTTTGAAGAAGCACTAAATTATTTTACACAGAGGCTGCACCATTTCATATTGTCACAAGCAATGTTTAAGAGTTCAAGTGTCGGCCGGGTGCGGTGGCTCAAGCCTGTCATCCCAGCACTTTGGGAGGCCGAGGTGGGAGGATCACGAGGTCAAGAGATCGAGACCATCCTGGTCAACATGG